CCCTCTCTGTACTTCTCCTTTTCTCCTCCTTCTCCTCCATTCCTCAGGCATTTTCTCATTTTCAGTTTCAGACTCTCCTTTTCATTCTCTTCATTCATTAGCTCCTAAAGTACTCTTTTCATCTATCACACCCTTTTTACTTGTTAGAATATTACTGTTTTCATCTTTAACTAGCTTAACCTGCTGCACATACTTTCCAGCCTGATCCTTCAGGTTGTTCTAGTCATTGCAAGTCCTTTTCTTTTGTGCAACTCATCATATGCCTTCTGGTTTTTTTCTTTGCTATCTCCCTCTTTGCCCTTTGTTGCTCTTTATATTCTTGTCTACTCTCTTTAGTCCTCTCACTGACCCATTTTTTTGCCTCTTCTTCTGGATAACTTCCTGCACTTCACTATTCCCATTTTACATGTACATTACAATATGTTTTAAATAATTTGATACTGAGCCAAAACTGTAATGTGTCATAATCACAAAATTTTGTGCAAAAAGGTGTTTGTAAGCCTGCTGTACAGTGTGTATATTTCAAAATAGCTTTATTGTGTAGGAGATGTAATGAATAACTTTTGTTCTTTTATGAAATATTTTAATTCATTTCAGTTATTTTTATAGTTTATTTCTCTAGTACCACTTCAAACCAGCTGTTAGGGAGCACAAGCCTGTGTATCTCTTGTGCCGGTCCCAAGTAAACGATGAGGGTTATGTCAGGAAGGGCATCGGACATAAAACACTTTTGCCAAAACTAATATACAAGTTCATCTAAGCAACACCATACTGGATCGATCAAGGCTAACTCCGGACCATCCCCCAGCTGGCCTGTCTTCCCGGCTGTTCGTAATCGGCTGGAAGACTGCAAATGGGAGCTAGCCTCAGTGGCTCTGCACTACCTACGTGAACCTGGCTAGGTATTCGTTTTTTAACAGTTCATAGCCAAGCTTCCAAATCAGACAGCTTCTCCTCCAAAGCTACCATAAGACTACATTTATTATAAGTATTGTTATTGCTAAAGGAGGCAGAAGAAGATAGAAATGATAATGCTCTAACAAGTGAGGTAGGGGTGGGAGATATGGCTCAAATATAATATTGTGATATTTCAGAGCATTCTGGTGATAACGATAAATTTCGTGATATTAAAAAAACAAACAAAAAGCAGAAATCATAGTTATTCATTTAACAAAATTAACTTAACATGTTGCTTTGCAGTATTATATATAAAAAACAACAAGGGTTAATTAAATTACTTTATTTAGTATTCCGTCTCAAAGTATAAAAATAAAAAGGATCCTTCTGTTATTTAGATTGAAAATATCTGCACAAAATATAGATCAACAAAATCCACCACAAAAACTAAAGTGCAGGTGAAGTTTCCCAAAATAACTAAATCAAATGAAGCTTAAGATCTGTTGAGCATAAATGTAACAAAATATATGTTTCCTTTAAATGAGCTCTAACTTCCAGAACTTTTTTTTCTCCCTTGTCCTGTCCGGCATTGTGGCGCTCAGAATTATTGTCTGAGTGTCAAAGTGATGCCCAACAGATTTATGTTCACAAGCAGAGCATTATGTCTGGCCTTAATGCTCCACTTGATATATAAATAAAACTTTTATTAGAATTTGCTTTGTGCTTGTTTCAGATGTAATGGACACGGGGATTAAAAAAAAGTTCTAGAAGTTAGAGCTCATTTAAAGGAAACATATATTTTGTTATATTTATGCTCAACAGATCTTAAGCTTAATTTTATTTAGTTATTTTGGGAAACTTCACCTGCACTTTAGTTTTTGTGGTGGAATTTTTCATCCCCAATCCATTACATCTGAAACAAACTTCCTGAACTTGTAACAAGGTGATCATCTGACCCTGAAGCTTGTTGGTGTTTCAGCTTCCTCTGTTCCTGCAGGAATGATTCATTTCTCTGATGCTCTCTCTGATCACCTGACTCTGTTCTTGGTCCATGGACTCTGGAACTAAGAGACAGACCTGCGCGTGTTTGTACCAGCAGTTTAGAGCGGGGGAGACGCGGCTGAGAGCTGCACCCACACCGGCAGCCCAGAGCAGGGTGTGGGGGGAGAGACAGTTGAGTTGTCTGTACCTGCAGTTTAGAGTTGGGTGGAGAGACAGCTGATCCGTGCGTTGTTTGTTTTTAGCTTTTTAGCTAGCTAGTACTGCGCGCAACTAATTAGTGTTACACCAGTACCGACAGGTGGAGGGGGGTGCGCAGTTCGGTTTGGTCGTTCGGCGCGCTCGGTTCTTTTAACAGGGCGGGGCGCCCTGATGGATTACGTCATGAAATTGGCATATCATGGTACCATTTATTTGCCCGGGCTAGCTTTTTTTACTGGTATTATCGTGAACAATATGATATGACCCAGCCCTAAAGTGAGGAGACTGTGACGGGAAGATGGAAGGAATATTTTGAGGAGCTAATGAATGAAGAGAATGAAAGAGAAAGAAGAGTAGAGGTCATAGAAACTGTGAACCAGGAAGTGGGAAAGATAAGTTAGAGTGAAGTTCGGAAAGCTCTGAAAAGAATGAAGAAGGGGAAAGCATAGGACCAGATGACATACCAGTGGAGGTTTAGAAATGTCTAGGAGAGATGGCAGTGAGATTTTTGACTCAAATATTCAATGGCAAGAAAGTAAAGAAGTGAGGAAGCAGTCTAAGCTGTTATGGTAGCATAATTAAAATGATTACCAAGATTAACCCTAACCAACCCTAGCTATAGGAATGATCAGTGGTGGGCACGGTTCTGCTAAGCTGCTAATAGCGGAACTAACTTTCCATTTAGCAGATTAGCATTTTCATTAACATTGAAATTCTTTAGCGGAATTAGCTTCCGCTAAATTTAAATCTGATAAGTTCAAGTCCACAAGTAAAAAAAAAAAATAACGGAGTTCTACTCATTCTAGGCATTCAGGAGACTGTTGATTTACACAGAACGATGATATGCTATGTAGAGGTAAGTAAAGTTAGGTGCCACCGGGTGACGCCACCACCCATGCAGTGCTTTTTTCCTTCATATCTACCACAAAGTCTCTGTCTCGTGGTGTCAGATTACAGCCAATAACAGAGACTTTTACATAAATACCAAACCACAACAGGAAATAACATGAAGAACCCATTTTCACACTCAGAAACATTGTAAACAGTCAGAAACATTGCACACACAATTCCTACCCAGCATGCTTTGCAATGCTCATGCTGTCTCTGGGATATGACTCTCTCGCACATTTCTTCCCACATCTTTACTTTAATACAAACACATTTTACTGAGAAAACATTGATGATACACAACAACATTATAGTTAGTTTCTAAAAGTAATTAAGCACAAAGAGGAGCTCCAAAGTGAGTTGATTCATTAAAGTACTGGAGGGAGACGTCCGACACACAGTGAACGCATCACTCTGCTTCAGCACAGCAGAGTTCTGCTCCTCCTCTTTGGTTCTGATGGACCAGATTCATTTCTGAAAGCTCACCTCTGAATGGGACACGGACACTTGTGATTTATGAACCGTTTTGAATTGTGTTCACTTTAAGCGTTGTCACATTACAGACAGTCTTACAGAGTCAGCGACAGCCGTGTATGATAAAAGTTAGCGCTTTAGCGTTATCTGTTTAGCATAGCTAAGCTAATTTTTTTTGTTAGCGAATTAGCAGTTGCTAATTTAACTTTTTGGTTAGCTGTACCCACTACTGGAAATGATCAAAAAGGAATCATATCTATTATCTAATAGTTGATCTAGGATTATTCAAGTTGATAATTTGAACGGACTCAGTGATCCTAAAATAATCCTCCTGCTGCAGTCAGGTTTCTGTAAGACAATACAAATCAATGTGATTAAAAATTAAACAACAGTCTTAGAAGGGAGAGCTCTTATGTTCAGTAATCCAAAAAATAAAATCCTAACTTTACCTGTGTACACTTTTACTTCTACAGTAGAATCCAATCATAACTTTAGTTTAATCTGTGTTAGTTATTATCCTGGTCTTGTTTCAAAGGCCTGTGATGCAGACAGAGCTGCTCTTCATTAATCAGTGACTCATTGTTGGAGTAATTGAAAACTTCTATGTCTGAGGCCACTGTGGATCTGCTACGCTCTCATCACTCTCTGAAACTGTACAGTAAGAAGGCTTTTTGTTTCAGTCCCTGTGGGCAGCTCAGTCATGACAAAATGCTTTCATGCTTCTGCTGCTTCATTTCCTTTAATGATGATGTGGGTGAGTTTATAACGTTTCTGCTGTGTTGATTATATTCAAACAAGTGCTTTCTTTGCAGTTAGCCTCGTAAATGAAATGCACTCTGATGACACTTGTCAGATCAGGATCAACTAAAGAACTGAATGTATTTTGTAAGAATTTCACTAAATATTTGCTCAATATCCATAAAATTGACAGAATTAGCACAATTCTTTTGTGTTGGTTAAAGTCACTTAGATGTAATGGCTACCTTGAACTTGGTTTACTTCAAAAATTAACCAGCTGTAAATCTAAATTACTTTCTCTCTCTTACTGCGACATTTTCATTAGAATCCATTCAGTGGTCTAAGAGGTATTTTGCTAACAAAAAGGCAGGATTGACTTCAGCATTTAATGCCTAATTATTAAGCAAAGATCATTCTTCGTGTTTTGAACTTGGGGTTATTTTTTGTTTGTATTATAATTCATATTTATTTAAAGACCTTGCTCAAGGGCTCACAGTGAGGCAAATGAGTGTGCTTCTCCTTTCCCTCCTAAGTTTTGTTGTAATGGTTAGGGGATTCAAACCGGCGACCTCATGCTCAGAGGCTCACCTTCTATAACCTCGGCGCCACCATTCCCCATTTTTTATTTAGGCACAAGTAACATTTCTTTTGTCTGCCCTCTTCTTCATAGTGAGTGAACTAGCATGAAGATTTGACAATTGTTTAACAGCAAACATGATGAGCTTCAGAAAAGTTATGTCTTCATAAATAATTACTTTCATTTGAAGATCGACCTATCTCTTTGTTTCTCTGTCATTTTGCAGGAAATCGATATTGCTCCTGACTGTAACCATGTGAGTATCTCTTTCAAGACATTCACTTTGACATGAACGTTTTATATCTTCCTGGTTCACAACTGCATGCTTAACCAACAAATGTAAGAACATTTTATCCGTGGCTGTTTTTTTGTGCTTTTAATTTCCTTACATAAAATTGCTTCTGCTCAGCTTTTGTGGAACTACAAATTAAATCTGACGACAGATTTGAAGTTCGAGTCTGTGGCCACGGAGGTGTGCAAGAGCACCATCGCTGAGGTTGGTCTGCCTTTGTCTCCTGCCAACCTTTGTGGGCTGCTTCAGTTCTGTTTCCTTTGATTCTGCCACACTGTTCCCTCCTGCAGATCAATGAGTGTAACGAAGAGGAGCGAGGGAGGGGGTATCTGGTGTCATGTCTTGTGGATCATCGAAGCAACATCAGCGAATACCAGTGCAACCAGTACGTCACCAAGATTACCAGTATAATCTTCAGCGACTACAGACTGATCTGTGGCTTTATGGACAAATGTAAAGAAGACATAAACAATCTGCGCTGCGGCAGCATCAACATGGGACAAAAGGTGTTGAAATTCAAACTCCAGCTGTGCACCTAGTATTCACTTAAACTGATATTTAATGTTGAAACAAACTGTAGCCAAGAAGAATGTTTACAACGTTTTAAAGAAGACATCCTATGCTTTTCTTATTTTCCTTCAGTGTTTGATCAGTATTTAGCATTTGTGAAAGATCTTTGCTACAAAGGTTCAAGTTCTCAAACTGGGCTGTTTCTTTGTGTCCTGGTTTGACTTTGTTTTTATTTTTTTATCAGGCCTTTATCTACCAACATAATCTGGAATTAATTTGTACAGTGTTTGAAAAGTGATGGTTTGGGCCAGTCAAGTTGTGTGTTTTGTAGCTCAAAGTTTGTAAATCTTCTGATACACGAGGAACAAAAAATATACTGAGGTCCCAGTTTTCATCATAAAAAATCAACTCCAAGCAACGAAAAATAAAAAAACCAGTCATTTTGTTGGTCACGTCATTCATACACTTCCTGCAGGAGGATCAGAATACTTTTTCTGCAGTGACTGTATGAACATTTTGAAGATTGGAGTTGTTTTAAGGTGGCAGCAATTTGATTTGGGACCTCTCCTGCTTAGACTGGTCTATAAATAAACTCTTTGTCCAATCTGAGGTCATTCAAAGAACTATCTACAACAGTTAAGATGCTATTTATTCATTAACTTTCCACATAACTTCACATCTACAGTAAATATCTGAACTGTTCTTTTACCATTTTTGTTTGTTTTGAAGCTTGAGTGTCCTGTAGCAACCTGGACTGATGTTAACGACAGCTCTTAGTCGGTCCTCGTACAGCAGCATGCTCGTTTTACCCTAACCTTTGTCTCTTCACAGGACGTCCACTCCCAGGGCGAGGTGATCGCATGTCTGGAGAAGGCGCTGGTGAGGCAGGCGGAGCAGTTAAATCATGTTCATTCAATCAAAGAAGAGTGTCAGAAAGCTATCCTTCGGGTGGCCGAGCTCTCATCAGATGACTTTCACCTTGACAGACATCTTTACTTCGCCTGCAGGGACGACCGCGAGAGATTCTGTCAAAACGTACGAGACTCTACTACTGTCTGCACGAAGAAACAAGAGCAACCACATTTAACAGTTCGATGTTATTTACTGGATATCTTTGCTTGCTTTTAGATGTTTTTAAAGTTGAACATGGTCATTCATGTCTGATATACTGTATGTAATGTATGTTTATCTATATAAACAGATAACGTAAATGTAAAATTGGCAGTATTATATAAAAAATAAAAGATTACGGTAAATAAATTTTAACAGACAGTCCTTCAGCTCCTGCTTCTCTCTCGTTTTGTTTATTTCCACAGGTTCAGGCAGGAGAAGGGAAAGTCTACAAGTGTCTGTTTAATCACAAGTTTGAAGAAGCCATGTCAGAAAAGGTACATGCTGCAGACAATCACTCCCCCTGAGGCAGAACTACTGCTGACCACAGAAGCTGTGGTTTTATCTTCTGAACGTCTCGTCTCTGCTCCTCAGTGTCGCGACGCCCTGACGACCCGACAGAAGCTGATCTCCCAGGACTACAGAGTTAGTTACTCCTTGGCGAAGTCTTGCAAGCTGGACCTGAGGAAGCAGCGCTGCAGCCTGGACACCAACCTGCCTCGAGCCCGTGAGGCTCGACTGTCGTACCTGCTGCTGTGCCTGGAGGCTGCTGTGCACCGAGGTGAGCGCACACGACACTTCGATGTACTCAGGGCGTGACAGTAGATTCTGAAGTTCTCTGCATTTATGGCCATTTCCTAAACTTTGAAATGTCTTTCTGCCTTTTTGTTGTGTAGGGCGCTCAGTTAGCGGGGAGTGTCAAGGCGAAATGTTGGACTTCCGGCGAATGCTGATGGAGGATTTTTCTCTGAGTCCAGAAATCGTTCTTCACTGTCGCACAGAGATCGAGGCTCAGTGCTCTGGTCTGCACCGCAAAGGCCGCACATTGCACTGCCTGATGCGGATCGGTCGAGGTGACCGCAGCGCTCCTATCGACAGCGTCTGTCAGAGCGCAGTAAGACGGCCTGCTCGTTGGTTCTTTCCTTTTGTTTTGTTTAAGAGAACAAGACCAGTTTATTGTTGTGGAACATTAGAAACATATTTTAATCTAGACTTAGTCATTATACCTCCTGTCATCGCAGTTTACATTTATTACTCAATTTAAAATAGATTAGACTTTTGCTACATTCTGTGATATCATATATCCATCCATCCATTTTCTTTACCTGCTTTTTCCTCTGGCTTGTGGAGGAACTGGTGCCCATCTCCATCGGTCATGGTGCAAGAGGTGTGGTGCACCCTGGAATCTGTTACAGGACTACATGGACAAATAAAACAAGAACCATTCAACAACACACAACCTAAGGGCAAATTAGATACTAGGTAACCTACCACCCATGTTTTAGTAAGAGGGGAGAAACTGGAATGCACAGAGAAAACCTGAAGCAGTCAAATTTAAATCAATTAAGGACAGAACTCACAAAGTTAATGAAGACTTGGAACTGACAAAAGGAAGAAAATGGAAAAATATAAATAATCTAATGACAGTCACTCAGTGCTTGTGCTTTTGATATGTTATCAGAAATATATAAAAAAAATAAAGCAAATTAAACTAGTCTTGACAGGTTGTTCCTCTAACCCTCCTGCTGCCCTTGGGTCAAAAGGATCCATGAAGCCTCAGTTATAAAAGTGATGCTCTGTCAGGAGATTAACTTTATAACTTTAATATAGCTTCAAATGATTTATGTGACTATGAAACTTCTGCTCCTGTCTCAGGTCTGACGGGGTCCTTCTTCAGATGTTTCAGCTCCTTCTACTGATTCTCAACAGGATTTAGATCAGGGCTCAGAAGGCCACACAGTGTTCCCAGCCCTGGTCCTCGAGGAACACTACCCTGCATGTTTTGATTGTTTCCCTGCTCCAACGCTTCTGATTCAGTGATTTAATTACTTCCTCAAATTCTGCAGAAGCCTGTTAATTACCCGTTCATTCAAATCAGGTGTGTTGGAGCAGAGAAACAACTGAAACATGCAGGATGGTGTTCCTCAAGGACTAGGGTTGGGAACCACTACTTTAGTGTTTTGTCTGTTCCAGGGTGTTTTTAGCTGTATGCTTAGGGCAGTGCTTCTCAATTGTTTTCTGTTATGAACGGAGGAGGTGACGGTCGGAGTTTATTTGTCATGTCAGCAGCAGAGGGGAGCGACACGGTTCATGCATGGCTCCCAAAATGACAAGGCAGCCATATTTGTTCATAACTTATTAGGAATGCATGGGACAAAATCAGAATGGTATTAAAAAATAAAAAATAAACCTACTCCCTGCGGCAATAAAAAGGGCCCGCCTCACTATTTGAGAAGGACTGGCTTAGGGTAATGGTCTTGTTGGAGGACCCATGACTTGCGACTGAGACCAAGCTTTCTGACACTGGACAGCACAGAATGTCTTGAGATTTTATTGTGCCCTGCCCCGATTCAAGATCCCCTGTATTGGAGCAAAGCAGCCCCAGAACAGAACCCAGTCTCTGCCGTGCTTCATTGTAGATCCAGTTCTCATTGTGTGCTTCATATGTGGGTATGTGAACACAGAGCTGATGTGACTTGACTAAAAGCTCCAGTTTTGTCTCAACTGTCCAACAGACATTTCCCCAGAAGTTCTGTGGCTTATCAATATGCATTAAGGTCAATTTTGGGCTCGCTTCTTAATGATTTGGTGTCCTCCTTGGTTGTCTTCCATTAGGTCCACATTGAGCCAAACAGTGACCTGGTGTGACCTGATGCTGATGTACCTTGACTTGGAGTGACCTCTAATCTTTTTGGAAATTGTTGGGCTGTTTGGTTACCGTTCATATGATGTCTCTCTTCAAGTTGTCTTCAGTTTTTCTTGTCTGGTCTTGTCTACAGTCTTGTGGATCATAAACTTCAAAATAATGTGTGCAGATGGTTTTATAGTTTTTACATTTAACATGCTGTCAGTCATTGTTATTCTAAGCTCCTGAGACAACTCTGTCCTCAGCTTTCTGTGCTCCATGTTCATTGTGTTACACACCATGATACCAAACAGCCCTGTGACTACCTGGCACCCTTTAAACAGACGGATTACAAGATTGAAGATACCTATGATGTTAACAATGAGATGTATTTTAATTTATGCCCCTATTATCAAATTATTTAAACTTTTTTTCCTAAGGGTGCCATTCTTTTTCCAAGGCCAGTTTTATTAGTTTGTATTTTAAAAATATGTGTAGAAGTAAAATATAAATGCACTTTCCTTTTAACTAACATTGTCAGTTTCAAGTTATTTTAGTGTCCCCTATTTCTTTTTTTCTCTAACAAATTTGTTCATGACTCTACCTATTTAGTCCTTCAGTAATAAAAATAAAATGTCTTTATTAGCTAAAATAAACAAGTCAAACTAACAAAAGGTAGATTAACATTGGATGCTTGTTCAGTCATGTTGCAGAAAGTCACAGTCAGGCTGCTGCTGTAGGAATTAAAAACAAGACCATAAAAAAGACCTGTCTTGATTTCTGTTTTTCTGCTGCAGTTGCAGACTTTGATTCAGTCCGCCGACCCTGGAGCTGATTATCGAATCGACCGAGCGCTCAACGAGGCCTGTGAATCTGTCATCCAGACCGCCTGTAAACACATCCGCAGCGGAGACCCAATGTGAGCAGCTCATTTTAATCTAGATTATGTCTGGATGTATTCTGTCATGATAAAATATACAATATCTTAATCCTGAAGTTTTATAAATCAAAACTTATTTTGATTGAAAAAAATCATTCAGTCCATACCAAGTATTAAAACTTGGAGAAAACAATATCAGATCAACAACGACAAATAACATATGTCAATATTCAGTTAACAAAAAGCAGACAGTATACAGGAGCAGCACAAGCCTTCTTATCGATGTTGGATCACGTTATTGACGTTTGCAGATATTTGTTTGTAGAAAACTCTCATTTACAGATGAGTTTATGGTCAACTCAGTGACTCAGGGTGTCCTGGCCACTAACATGCTGCTTGTTTTCTTGTTGTTGTTTTGGTCTTCTCAACTTTTCCACATAAGATGTACTATACAGTCTTTTTACTCCCCATCACGGAGCGGAGGAATTGTAAATGTCCTCTGTTTGTCCGTCCATTCATGCCTGCATATCTTGTCTAATCAGCACCTCGATATGCCACACCTTTGATGTGGATAGATACCTATATAAATGTGACTTGGTTTTCTATTTTTAATAAATTTGCAGAAATCTCAAATCATTTTTCACACTGTCACAGTGGGGTATTGTGTGTAGAAGTTTGACTAGATTCATTTAATACAATTTGGAATAAGGCTGTAACATAACAAAATATGGAAAACCATCCATCTATCGACAAAGTCCATGTTCAATAATCCAGAAATACAATTCAACATTTTTCAGTCAGGTCATCTGGACAGTTTCTTTTTTTGTGCTGAAACGTTTCACCTTCTATCCGGAAGGCTTCATCAGTCAAGGAAACGCACAACACAAAACTGATTCTTCCCCCAACAGCTTATTCCAAAGTGGAACAAACCAGTTATGTTGGTGCTAAGATGATCTCTTTGTCACGCCCCCTCCTCCATTGCTGGCCCTCTTCCTCGTCGACAGTCGTGTCAAACTATCCTTTCTAGTTTTTATATTTCTTAAAAGTATCGTCTCCTCAATTGATTGGGGGGACCAAAAATTAATCTAAGGTGGCCAAGGCCACCATTGGCCACCCCCTGGCTCTGCCATTGTGGCAGAATGTGTGTTTGAATGATAGATGTCAAGAAGTTTGAAAATGATCTTTAACCTTCCCTGATTGATGGGCAGCAACGGTTGATTCTTTAGTATCATTGTTGGTGATCATCGTCCTTAAAGTGGTGAGGATGCATTTAGTTTTCACGCACTGTTTTTGTAATTCAATTCAATTTAATTCAGTTTATTCATTTAGTGCAAAGTCACAACAGAAGTTATCTCAGGGCACTGAACAAATACATAAAAGTTCAATCAGTAATATTGTTTATCTAATATTTTTTTATTTTATTTATTTTATTTAGCCTTTATTTATCCAGGTTAGTCTCATTGAGCCACGAGAACTCATTTTCAAGAGAGACCTGTAAGATATAATGTAGGGAAGCCAGCAGATTGTGTTAAAAGTATAACTTGTGAAAATTATGGAAAAAAAAAAACCCATAAAGACGCTCCTGCATATAAACCATGGGGTACAAATTGTGAAAAAAAAGTAGTGGCTGGCTTGTACAACATTAATTACGGTAGTTGCTTCTCTCCCTCCCTCTCTGCTTTGCTTTGCTGCTCTGTCTGTCTGTAAAATTGCTGTGAGACTCTTGCATTTCTTCCGAACTATAATTATGGACTTGTTTTGACCAGTTGACCAGTTGGTCCCTCATCTCAATTTACAACATTTCTTCGAAGAGAAGACAGGCTTTGGGCGAGCCGATTTACCCTGTTGGCACGCACGCAGCTGGATATCTCATCGACTGGAAAACTTGATGTGTCTATATCTGCTGCCATCTGTGGATTTTAAGGACGCATATTTAATTGGATTCACGATAACTGGTTCCTGCTTTTTGGATTCAGCTGGTTGCTGGTTTTATCTACAATCAAGGAAGTCGTCAGCAGCAAATTTGGACCCGATCACGCTGCTTGCCTTTATGATGGCTTGGTTCATGTCTGGAGTACTCGGACTCAAATGCTTTGGGCTGAATGGATCAGATCTTGGGGATTTTTACTCAGTCACGTTCCATCGGTGTGGCCATGTTAATTTGGACATTTCGGAACCGAGTGGACCGACACAGACTCAAGGTAGATGTCATTAAGTTCTGCCTGTCCCCAAAACAACTGTGTGTTTATCTAAATTTGGTCGCCTTGGTTGTCCTTGAAGGCCATCTTATCTAAAGTCGCCTGGAGAAAATGTGATCTGAGGCTCACCGCCCCCTCCCTGAGGAATTTCCAACTGATAACCAGATGAAAACAGCTGAATAAACTTTGTGTCATCATTTCAGGACTCTTGATTCTTATAGAGGTTATGCTTGGCCATTCCTCGACATACCTCGAGAATGTTTATGGATCTCACCGGAGGACATTGACTGATTACAGTGACCTCGAGAGCATCTGTAGGCGTTGTTGACCGCTCTCGTCTCTTCCTTCTTCCTGCTCTGCAGAATGTCTACGTAAATATGTGCTTGTTTGTTGCAAAGTGTTTTTTCAATATTAGGGGTTTTTCTCAGCCAAGCAAAAAGTCTGATAGGAATTTTTTCCTCCTCCAACTCCTACATATGTCCAGTTAACCACTGTTTTTGTCTGTCCAAACAGGTCTCACTTGTAAATGAGTCTTCAAGGCTCAATGTGATTTATCTGTTTAAATAAAGGTTGAATGAATGAATGAAAAGTTATTTTTAAAGCCCTCAGACAAAGGTTTTTCTTTCTGTTTTTCATGATGAACCTGATGTAACAGGTTTGTTTTTGTGTTTAGGATCCTGTCTTGCCTGATGGAGCATCTGTACACAGAGAAGATGGTGGAGGACTGTGAGCACCGGCTGCTGGAGCTACAGTATTTCATATCCAGAGACTGGAAGTAAGTTTGCTTGGTGACAGGATCACAACACATCTCTGCAGTGGAGCAACTTTAACTTTTTGTTATGGCCAGAGAGATATAGGATCTGGAAAAAACAAAACTGAGTTTGAATGTGAAAGAGTACTCGACACAAGATGAACTGTGATCACTGTTAGGTTATACAGCAGTCCCTCGCTACTTCGCGGTTCGTTTTTCGCGGACTCGCTCTATCTTGGTTTTTCAAAATAAGACTGAACATGACACACAGTTGGCTGATTGATGGATGAGCCGCACGATCAGCATGGAAATTTTTATTTAAAATTAATTATTTAAAATTATTTAGCACCTGCTGCACCTGTGTGCAGCACACACTGCAGGAGAAACTTCCTCCTGCAGCTCCTCCTCCCTCCTCCTTCCTCCTTCCTCCTTTGTCGATCTCTGTTATGCAGCGGAGAAGTGGGCGTGGCCGAGAACACAGAGTGGCAGAGGGGAGGCAAAGAGCTGATGTCATGACATTCTGTGATCTTTTAGAGCATTTAGAGTTTAGAAACATTGTTTAGAATATTGCAAGAGTGTGGGAGGGTTTAAAACACCTTGTACTACTATTCCTACTTCACAGTTTTTCATTTAAGGCTCTCACAGACTCGGGCAGTCCTCAGTCCGCTCGGAAACTGCAGGCACAGCTCGCAGACGGTTGAGACTTCATAACTCGAGTGTCCACTCTGACCGGCTGCAGACCAGCTCTGCAGGCAAGGGGCGTTTACCTTCGACGATACGATTTTTCTCAATATCACAAAGTCTGCCACGATACGATTTCAATTCTATTCGATTCACAAGTCTGGGATTGATATATTGTGATATCAAATGCCCATCTCATTTACATATAAACAAATTTACAAAAACAATTCAAATATGATTTAACCATTTTATTTCTGTTATTACAGTCACCTGGCATTTAAATAAAAAAGCATTTTTCTTAATTAATGAAAAAATAAAAATAAATGACTTGTTCAGTATAGTCTCACATTTCTCAAGTTTAAGTGCAATTTTTAAACCAGTTAACTTAAAAGTGCCCTGATTACCTTTCACTTATAAAGAAACATAAATAGATATTGAGCTTACATAACATGACTATCAATGTTGTGTTTCTTCTTCAGGTGAATGGACACATTTGTTGTGTCCCGAGTATTTTAACTCACACTGGCACCTGTTGCATACGACATGAGTATTTTAACTCACACTGGCACCTGTTGCATACGACATGGGTTTTGTCTGTTGAGCCGTCGACCTGTTGGAATCCAAAATATTTCTACAGAGTTGATTTAAATCCAGCAGGAGAGTGAATTTCATGATCTGTGTTTTCTGCCTCGTCTGCCATGTTGCTGAGGCGGCCGCAGACGCAGCCGAGCACGGACATGGTGACACAGACGTGCCTTGGGAATTTCAAAATAAAAGTGTATTTTAAAGATGACAATATAAATTGATGTTTTACTTTGGCCACAATATAATTGAATTATTAATCATTTAATTGATATATCGATGTAAATCAATATATTGTTACACCCCTACTGCTAACTAGTTTTTGTTTCTAGATGTGACAGAAATTCAGAAGCAAGTTTCTTTGGAAGCAGAAGTTGTTTTTGTGCCGTCTAACAGAACAGATTGAATTGCACTTTTAAAAAAAAATCATTGAACACAGCAGGAAGTATGTAGTTGGATAAAAAAATATAATAATCTGGCTGATTTGAAGATTCTCCTTGTTTTTATTATTCAGGCTGGACCCCATCCTGTATAGGAAGTGTCAGGGTGATGCTGCACGGCTCTGCCACACACACAGCTGGAATGAGACCAGTGAGCTCATGCCGCCAGGGGCAGTTTTCTCCTGTTTATACCGACATGCCTATCGCACAGAGGAGCAAGGACGGCGGGTAAAATGACGCCAAACACACACACACACACACACACACACACACACATATCCTTGGTATTCAAGACGACACTGACGTGTAAATATTCAGATAGAAAAAGATTTTCAGTTTAGGGTTGATTAGGTACCATATTTTCAGCAGATGTAACTTTGATGTTCTTAAATTTAACAGGTAAAACCAGATGAGCAGGTAAGAGCTCTGTCTGTTTCACATAAATCAGTGAACCTGGTGAGGGGTTAAATTGATAATTTATGATCATTTAAAACTCTACTTAGTGGGTGTCTATTATGATGAGTTGAGTTATTAAGAACCTTGTCATAAATTCCTCCCTTCTTATTTTTCCTATTTCCTTGTATTTCAGCCTGTAATATGAAATGATCTATACATATTTGACAAGAGGTCAATCATATTAAACATTCTTTGATCAGTTGTGGTTAAATATTAGAGTTCACAAGGCATGATGTGAATCTCTGAAGTTTCTCATTTTTAAATGAGAAATTATTTACAAATTAACCTTTTTTAGCAGCATATCATTTTTTTACACCCAGCTTGAATGTTAACCATTTATTACAAAAAAATGTCAAGCAGAACATCCCATAGATGACACAAGTCCAACAAAATCTGTCTGATGTCAGGTTATCAGAAAATTTTCATCTGAACCAAGGTTAGTAAAAATACATACCACCACCAATCTCATCTGAACTAGAAGGCTGTATCTCTTAGAAGTAGTGTTGTGTTCAAGACCACCTAACCCGAGACCAAGTCAAGAACAAGACCAGAGTGTACTGAGACCGAGATGAGACCAGGACTTTTAGGGTCCGAGATCAAGTCGAGATCAAGACCGAGGGAGGGCAAGACCAAGTCGAAACCAAGACCTCAAATAAAATAAATAAAATGATTTTTTGATTATATATTTTTTTAATAAAAGTTATATACTGCAACTTTGTTTGCTTTTGAATGAATATATCAGCTTCTCAGCTTTTCAGGTCTCTCTTGTAAATGAGTCCTCGAGGCTCAATGGGATTTACCTGTCTAAATAAAGGTTGAATGAATTTATAAGTTTTCAAAGCTACATAACAAAGAAATCAGACATTCAGTGGCTTAACTTCATGTGATTCAACAATAAAATTACACAACTGTTAAAATGGAAGCAGTTTCATCACATGCTAAGCCTTACAAAACTGCAGTGGCACAACACTCTTCATAAGTCCAAACTCAACACCAAGGATAACCTTATAGTTGCACAGTGGCTTAAATAAATTAGTAGATATACACCTAAATAAGTTATATTAATGGATATTAGTTACAAGTGTATTCTCTGTGATTTAAATAGCCAAATTTTATAACTGATAACAGATATCTTCTCCCGCGTCCAGACAATCACTTCTCACTTTCTTGGAGTGACCAGTGTTGCCAGATAGTCGAGGATTTCCAGCCCAAAAATCTGTTAGAAATCACCACATCACACAAAAATCCACCCAATCAATATATTGTTATATTCACGGTTTGAACATGAACGCACATCAGTACAAACCAAGGTAATTTAACATTATGTGGCAAAACGCAACAATACAACAAAAATCTTCCCAGAGTTCCCAGCAAAATCAAAATGAAAACCGCCCAATTAGCAGTAAACCATCCAATCTGGCAACACTGGGAGTGACGTGTGCGAGTGAAAGAGGGTGGGCGTGACAGCGGTAACAAAAAATGCATTTAGCAATGGCTCACGTTATCGATTGGATTTGAATCAGTATGTTTTGCATCCAATAAAAGCAAAGATGTTAACAAATAAACAGGACAATATTCAGGCAATTTAGTGATATTTCAACTGTTGTGGTCTTGACTGGTCTTGAAATAAAATCCCGAGTCCTCAATGACAGAGACCGAGACAAGACCGAGACCAAATGCGATCGAGTCCGAGACAAGACTGAGACCATCAAAAAGTGGTCTTGAGACCGGTGTCAAGACCAAGACCGGTCTCAAGTACTACAACACTATTTAGAAGGTAGCATAATTTAACATTGTACTGTTACAGTTGTCCCTCGCTATATCGCAGTTCACTTCTTGCGGCCTCACTGTATCGCAGTTTTTTTTTAAATGTGTGTACTGTACATGCTTTGCAGTACTGTACATTCATCTCATTGTCATTGCCCTCACCAAAGTGTTTTAAGAGCATATGAAGTGTTTAAAAGAGAGTGGGAATGTCAGGATTCATGTCTGTCTGTTCACCACACCCATCTGCTCCGCTGTGATCAGCGTAATTCTTCTCACCTGGTAGTCATAGCATTTAAACTCTCCCCTGTTCTCTATCGGGCACCAGATTATTGAAAGCCTTGCACAAGTAAATGTCCAACAATTATCTCATGCTTCTGACTGATCCCCTCACCCTGACCAAGTTTCTGTGCCCTGAATTTCCCTGTCTCACCTTGCGAAACTTTCCAGTGCATGGCCACAGATGTGTGCTGACTCCCACCAGTCTTTTCAAAATAGAGCTCATTGAATGTGCTCCGTGTCTAGTTGAATTATCAGGTCCTCTGTTAAATTTATTACAGTGAAAGGTTAATAAGAGAGTGGGAAAGGTTTGTAGAAGTGTGTCAACTCACCACACCCAATGATGATAACTAAATGCACAATTTATGCATTGGATGTACATTTACAATGATTGTAAGATTGGTCTGGACTTGCCATTTGCCACTTGACTGAATGTCCAATTTGACCATTAAAGCATCACCTGTTGTTAGGTGGGGCAGTGCGTCTCATGCCTCTTGTCAGGGCTACTGCTGCTCTGGGTATATGGATGCTCACATCATATAGAAGTGTGCCCCCAGGGAATCCCTGGTCTCGTACCAAAGCCTTTACTATCCAAGGCAGTTGGATGAGAGCTATGCCTGTATGCATCCTGCTAAGGCAAGTACATAGTAATGTACTGGCATCTTGGTAATTATGCTAGTTGCTCTGTATGGATTCCTTCATCCCCACAGCCATAGAGAGACTAAGAGGTATAGTGGGATTCACTACTTGGTCTCACTTGTTACTTTATCACTGACTCTAAAGGTCAGCTGACCCAACTCATAGTAGGGCCTGTTCCCCAGGTCTGTAAAATATACAGAGAGTTATTGTCCATGCCAAGAAGCAGAAATTGACCAGTAGTCTGTGTAGATGAACAGATGCTGGGATGTATTCATCATTTAACGCGAGTTCCTCATTTTTCTGGACTGAATAAAACGTGCATTGAATTTAAGGAAATGCAAACGTGAGACGTCATTTAGATTTGACCCATCAAAATGAATGCGGTCATTTATTTACAGAATCAAATTTAACATCAAACATGTACATTAATTTGGCAAATTATGAAAATAACAACAAAGCAATCAATCAGGAAAAATCATACGGCCATGATTTTTCCGTTGCTGCACCACAGACATGTATAAAACTGTACAACTATGACTTTTACCCACACGGATGTGAATAAGCACTTTACACAGACATTTCTAAATATCTGGGAGAATTTCTACTTCATAGGAAAGTTTAAAGATGGAAAGAAGTTTAGAGGGAGTAAAGGATGGTGTGTGAGGGAAATTAAGTGTTTTCCAGAACCGACACTCTCCATCAGAAGCCCAGCTCGCCTCGGTACGCTTGGTAGGAAACTTGACCCATTACCTCTCTGATGATAATCAGCAGATATGGTGTTCCGTTAACGCTACCGGTCCAGCGTCTCCTTAGAATGGCTGTTGCCCGTCAGAAGTAGTGGCGAGGCTCTGTTCGACACACATTCACCTCAGTGGAAAATGTTATAATCCCATGGAACTCGGAAGAGCTTCGTTGTCATGTCAGGAACTCCCACAGAACTCTTGAAGTCTGACAACTCTCCAACTCTGTAACTCCGTGAGTCCGTGAGTCTCTGTAGAGTCTCTCCGTGTCCCTGAGAGTCTGTGTAAACCAGGAAGTACTGACATTTTAAAGGCTCTTTCCCGGTTCACTTTTTGGGATTTTTCATTGGTCAGAAACGACCAGAAGGGGTGTGTTTTTGTGACGTAAGGGGTTAGAGACAGCGAGAATTGTTATGAGACAGCTCAGAAATGTTCTCAGAGACCGAGAGGATTCTGTTTTGACGTGTCTAAGAAACAGGTGCAAAACATCTCTATTTACGTCTGAGAGGATTCTAAAACATGACAGTTTTAACATAACAACTTGTTTTTCGTTTGAGTCCAACCTTGGAACGCACACACTTGCTCATTCAAAAGCAGAAATCAGAAAAATGCATAATTCTGCACAGCTTTTAACATGAGAATAAAATCATTACTCAGTTAATAAAATTGATTAGTTCACTGCAACATCTAAAATGGTTTGAACTAAGACACTTTGATTATCAACATTTGTAAGATAGTAATGATAATAAAAAGAGAGTGTTCTTTTCACTTGAATCTTCAAGAAAGAAAGTCTCAGGATGGGTGAACCTGTATTTATGGAGTCAAATACATGAAATGACAGCTTCTGTCCCACAAGGTTCTAAAGGTCAAGAGTTTTGACCTTAGACTTAGTTTCGACGTAGGCCTTGGTCCACTACATCTGCTACTCAACAGGACCCACCCTTCAGACTTATGTCTGCTGACCCGGGTTCTTCCTTCGGCGTCTGCACAGAACCACCTGGGGCTCTGCAAGTTCCCCAAGCATGAACATTTTTATTTATTTTATTTTTTATTTATTTTATTTTTTATTTATTTAACCTTTATTTAACCAGGCAAATCCCATTGAAATCACAGATCTCTTTTGCAAGGGAGGCCTGGGCCTAAAGGCAGCCTAACATACATGTCTTTGGTCTGTGGGAGGAAACCGGAGTACCCGGAGAAAACCCACACAAGCACAAGAAGAACATACAAACTCCACACAGAAAGACCCCAGGTCCAACAGGGGATTGAACCCAGGACCTTCTGAACATGCCAACCCTCTTGAGAATTGGGAGGTCCTGAACCCTTTTGGCAATGAATCTGTTGCTCTCCCATCTTGGAATCTCATAGACAGCTTATACAAGCCAGTCCATGGCAGACTTGTCTGCACAGGTCACACAACAGGTGCCCTGCACAAGATCTGACTCACAAAACTGTGGCACCGGATTGTCGTCCAACGCCTGGTCAATGAGCCTCACGATTGTAGCACGCAAGTGCTCACGTGCCTCCTTTTTAGACATATATGCATGTCATCATCTGAAAAGATAATGACCTGCAATTCCCCACCAACAGCCAATATCATTGAAGACCCATTGCAGTGTATTTTTTGGGGCTGCCTCCACTGCCTGGAGTCGAGGCCACAGCCCTCTTTCACTTATGAGAGCAAGGCCCAGCTCTATCTCCAGTGCTGTCTTTCGACTTGCTGGGTCTTGGTTTGTCAGCTGCCAAACCTCTAGGAGGCTCATTTGCCAGCTACCCTTTCCCAGCAGCCAAACTAGAGAAAAAAACTTGAATTCTTTTTCTTGCGCTTTTTCTTTTTCTTTTTTCTTGTGTTAAAGAGAGACACCATTTGTCCTCGGAGAGTGCATCGCCCCCCTTAACATTTTCTCCATCAGAGCTTTCTTACCAGACAGGCCAGAGGCATGGTTGTATGACCACAGCGACAGTCGCACCCAAGACACCACAGGCTGGGCCCTCAGAGGTTTTATAATGCCCTTTGGCCTGGTAATGGGGGCTGGTCTCTTGTCCACTCATTTTAAACGCAGTTGTCAACTTACCATCCACCGGGGGTGGATGGCTAATGACTGTTGACGGTGCCTAGGTTTTAAGTCAGTTTCCTTCTCCTAGGCAAGTTGCCTACCAAGGCTATTGAGCATCACCTGCTCCACTGCTTTTAGTTTGTGGCACCCTATTCGCTTTCCAACTTATTCAGGTACACCCCTGTACACCAATAACAGGGATTCCCAATCCACCACCCAGGGACATGCTGCTACGCAGTGCAGCCTCAGCGCAGCCTCACCGCGAGGAGGCATCTAGGCATGTGAACACCGTTCAAGTTCACTATCAAAAACCTGATTATTAAGGCAAAATCATATGTGCATGTCTGTGTGTGTGTGTGTGTGTGTGTGTGCACGCTATACGAATCCTTCAGCAGTGGGAGGCATCAGCATACTGCTTGTTTGTTTGGTGCTATTCAATTAAATTCAATTTAGCCTTTATTTATACAGATAAATCACAATGAGCCTTGAAGACTCTTTTACAAGTGAGACATGTTTAGACAGACAAAAAGTTGTGACAGTAACAACATGTAGGATTTGGAGGCAAAAACAAATTCTGAACAGGCTCTCTCAATGGCCAATGAGAGATTGCATGAAATTGAAAAAAAAAAAAAACACCCCGCCCACATAATCACATAGTGATGTATTCATTCCGGCAGGGAGGTGAAGACATCAAGGGCAGTGAGCATGTCCAAGGATGCTCCCAGAGGCACTGTAGGAGTTCTGATAAGATGGAATAATCAGCCAGTTCCATCTGGTGAGATCCATAAACATTCTCTGGGGGTGCCGAGGTTGGCTAAGAACAGCGCCAGTGAGAATCCAGGAGTCCTGAAATGATGACACAATGTTTATTCAGCCGGTTTCCCTCGATAGATCCGTAGACTTCCTCGGTGTGAGGGGAGGGGGCAGAGCATCAGATTTACAGAGCCTCCAGGCAAATTGAGATAAGATGGCCTGCCAAGGCCAGCCGAGGGAGCCGAATTCAGATAAATAACATTTGTTTTGGAGACAGGCAGAACTTTACTGAATTTTATCTGCCTCAAATCTTTGCTGGTCTCAGGTAGATTCCGAAACGTCCAAATTAAGTGGACATACCGCTGGTCTGTGCCTGAGAATATTCCCCAAGATCTGATCCATCCTGCCAGCGAGTACTAGGGGCTGCAAATGGCCAGTGATTCTCACAAATCACATCCAATTTACGGTTCAGTTCGCTAAGCAATTGAGTCTGGGTGCTCGAGACACAGAGCAAACCATCACATAAGGCTGGCAGCTTGACCAGGGCCAAATTAGCTGCAGCCATCTTCTTTGTATGTTGATAAACCAGGAACCAGATGATTCCAAAAGGCAGGAAACCTGTTATCATAAATCAAATTATATATGCATCTTCGACGTCCTCGATCAACAGCAGAGATAGACAGATCACATTCCACTTCCCCCAGAGACATATCCAGCTGCATGCATGTCATCAGGGCAGTTTGGCTCACCTGAAGCTTGTCTCGTCATTGAGAAAATTTTATCAATTGCGTTGAGAGACCAACTGACCAGATCCATAGCAAAATTACGGTTCGGAAGATATGTAGAGGGAGCTTCAGAAGCAGTTTCACATATGGGACAGAGCAACAAAGCAAAGTGGAGGAGAGGAGGGGAAAGGCATCCGCCCTCGACAAATGCAAGTGGTGAAGTGTAGCTATACTTTAGCTTTTGAACAGAGTTTGTATTACACATACAAATGATGAAAATTGGCTCATATCTGGAAATATTATCCACTAATTATTTGTCATGGATTCATTAAACTGCAGCAGCACATTTGAAGAACAGCAAAGTTCATGCACAATCATCCAGGTATCAAATCCAATAATTCTCAGTCAGGTCATATGGCCTGACTGAGAATTATTGAATTTGAAGAACAAGTTTTCCAACATTGTGTGTTTTAGTTGTCTCGAGACTGTAAAGTTGAGGTTCAGAGGATCCTCCACCAGAGAGCGTTGGATGTGAAGTTGGATCCGGACCTGCAGAAACGCTGCATGACTGACCTCGGCAAGTGGTGCAGCGAAAAGACGGACATGGGACAGGCGAGTCACACCTGAACCGCTTCTGTCCTGTTGGTACCAAAAACATGACCTTTTCAAAACACAAGATAGAAAACGACATCTTTTAAATAATTCATTTGTAAATGTGTTGCTGTCTGTAGGAACTGGAGTGTCTGCAGGATCATTTGGAAGATCTTGTGTCCAGCTGCAGAGAAGTTGTTGGCAACCTGACAGAGCTGGAGTCAGAGGTCAGAGTTCACCTAAACTAAACCAGGAGACAGAGATTGTGTTACAGTTAGTATTAGATCATGTTTCCATCTTTTTCTTATTGTTCAGGACATCCAGATTGACGCTCTGCTCATCAGAGCCTGTGATCCTATCATCCAGGCCCACTGCCATGTGAGCGCTCCAACTAATTACACTCAGCAAGTCTCTTCTCAGTAGTAAAAACTGCATTTTCAACTATTTTTATAATTGCTGTGTTTGCAGGACGTTGCAGATAACCAGATTGATACAGGTGACCTGATGGAGTGTTTGGTTCAGAATAAACACCAGAAGGAGATGAACGACAAGTGTGCAGTCGGCGTTACACACTTCCAGCTGGTCAGTTATCAGAATGGCATGCTCATTTCTTTCTGCTACTTTATAAATTCATTTTTCTAATCACACCTTTTTTTTTTCAAACTGGAGTTTCATTGTTAATTTAGCTTGTGGAAATCTGTTTGTTTTGTACTTTTTAATAAAGAGTATGAAAAAGGTTTGTAAGCTCAATCATCCAGGTAGATAAATCACAAAAAAGCTTAAATCATGTCATCTGGCCAGTTTCTTTAAGTGAGGAACTAGGCTTGGAGATATGGACCAAAATTAATATCTCAATATTTTAAAGATAAATCGCAATATATGATATATACCTTGATATTTTTTTCTTTCCATAAAGTAATAACAAAAATATATTTCAGAGTCTAAAGCTTTGTCCCAAGTGTCACACAGGCACATTTACTAACAAACAGCTGTAACTGCACAAAATAAATGTCTAAAAAAAGAAATGATTTACATATATCAAATAACGATCCTCTTCAGCTGCGCCGCCTTAATGTTAGTAAGCGTGTGTGAAGCAGCACATGAGAGGCTGTGTTTGTATTCACTGAGGGAGAAGGAGGGGCTGTGAGAAGTTGGTGGCGCAGACGGGTAAAAAAGACAAACTACACAGATTTTCAAGTCTTCCAGTGAGAGGTAGAGTGACATTAATAAAGCTGCTTCTTATCGTATCACTAAAGACACGGTCCTTAGCAGCTAACAAGATGGCTAACTTTAGCCGTGTTGTTCCACAGTTGAGACTTGGACCTAGTCTGTAACGATATAATAAGCTGCTGCTTTATTAATGTTGCACTACCTCTCACTGTTCCTCTCAAGGCACAGCATGGCTAAATGAGCTTTGACCTGTGGTTTGTTACAGGGAAGGAGGCTGAAGTCGGAAGTCCAAGGAGAAACGTTTCTCCCTTAAAGAAACTGTTCAGATGACCTGATTTAACCTTTTTTTGTGAAAGAGTATGAAAGTTTATTTTTGTATAATGTTTAATTATTATTAAGAATCATAATGAAAGTACATTTAGAGCATTTATTCCGTATTTAGAAAATACAGGTCCTTCTCAAAAAATTAGCATATTGTGATAAAGGTAATTATTTTCCATAATGTAATGATAAAAATGAAACTTTCATATATTTCAGATTCATTGCACACCAACTGAAATATTTCAGGTCTTTAATTGTTTTAACACTGATGATTATGGCATACAGCTCATGAAAACCCCAAATGCCTGTCCCAAAAAATTAGCATATCATGAAAAGGTTCTCTAAACAAGCTATTAACCTAACCATCTGAATCAACAACGTAACTCTAGACACCTGCAAAAGATTCCTGAGGCTTTTAAAAACTCCCAGCCTTGTTCATTACTCAAAACCGCAATCATGGGTAAGACTGCTGACCTGACTGCTGTCCAGAAGGCCATCATTGACACCCTCAAGTAAGAGGGTAAGACACAGAAAGAAATTGCTGAAGGAATAGGCTGTTCCCAGAGTGCTGTATCAAGGCACCTCAGTGGGAAGTCTGTGGGAAGGGAAAAGTGTGGCAGAAAACGCTGCACAACGAGAAGAGGTGACCGGACCCTGAGGAGGATTGTGGAGAAGGGCCGATTCCAGACCTTGGGGGACCTGCGGAAGCAGTGGACTGAGTCTGGAGTAGAAACATCCAGAGCCACCGTGCACAGGCGTGTGCAGGAAATGGGCTACAGGTGCCGCATTCCCCAGGTCAAGCCACTTTTGAACCAGAAACAGAAGTGCCTGACCTGGGCTACAGAGAAGCAGCACTGGACTGTTGCTCAGTGGTCCAAAGTACTTTTTTCGGATGAAAGCAAATTTTGCATGTCATTCGGAAATCAAGGTGCCAGAGTCTGGAGGAAGACTGGGGAGAAGGAAATGCCAAAATGCCAGAAGTCCAGTGTGAAGCACCCACAGTCAGTGATGGTCTGGGGTGCCATGTCAGCTGCTGGTGTTGGTCCACTGTGTTTTATCAAGGGCAGGGTCAATGCAGCTAGCTATCAGGAGATTTTGGAGCACTTCATGCTTCCATCTGCTGAAAAGCTTTATGGAGATGAAGATTTCATTTTTCAGCACGACCTGGCACCTGCTCACAGTGCCAAAACCACTGGTAAATGGTTTACTGACCATGGTATTACTGTGCTCAATTGGCCTGCCAACTCTCCTGACCTGAACCCCATAGAGAACCTGTGGGATATTGTGAAGAGAAAGTTGAGAGACGCAAGACCCAACACTCTGGATGAGCTTAAGGCCGCTATCGAAGCATCCTGGGCCTCCATAACACCTCAGCAGTGCCACAGGCTGATTACTTCCATGTCACGCCGCATTGAAGCAGTCATTCATGCAAAAGGATTCCCGACCAAGTATTGAGTGCATAACTGAACATGATTATTTGAAGGTTGGCGTTTTTTGTATTAAAAACACTTGTCTTTCATTGGTGGGATGAAATATGCTAATTTTTTGGGACAGGCATTTTGGGTTTTCATGAGCTGTATGCCATAATCATCAGTATTAAAACAATTAAAGACCTGAAATATTTCAGTTGGTGTTCAATGAATCTGAAATATATGAAAGTTTCATTTTTATCATTACATTATGGAAAATAATGACCTTTATCACAATATGCTAATTTTTTTAGAAGGACCTGTATATTCTTTAGGCAAATTACTTCCCAGTGTGTGCAATCTTTAGTTTATTGCAAATTTTCTCATGAACCAGTAGACGGAGTTTAAAGAAACCTTTTAAAAAGCATTCACTTCATGTAAATGTTCATCCAAATTAAAGATGGCCTCCACAGATCATCGACCCAAACCAACTGAAAAATGGCCGTAGCTCATTCAGTTTTCCAGATCTTGTGCTGAATTTGGTGTGGTGGTAGCTGAGAGTCATTCTGAACACATCCTTCAATTACTAACAAATGTGAGATCTTGCCTTATGTCATTTATGATGTTTGACCAAAATGGCACCAGTCAGTCCCTTGTCATCAGAAAATGGTGAAAATAATGATAAAATGAAACACTTCTCTCTTTTCTCATGTGCTCAACTTTCAGGTTCAAATGAAGGACTTCAGGTTCTCCTACAAGTTCAAAATGGCCTGCAAGGAAGATGTTCTGCGCTTGTGTCCAAACATCAAGAAAAAGTAAGCTGAAAAACACCATCCATTCATCCATTCATTCATCCATTCATTATCTTTACCCACTTCTTCCTTTACTGGTTGTGGGGGTCACTTGTGCCCATATCCAGCAGTCCCTGTGTCTAATAATGATTCAATCCAAAAGGGGGAACATGTCAGTCAGAGTAGGAGAAGAAATGTCCACCTGTTATGGAGAAGACAAAGCACCATTTGTTTTTAATTGTGCTCTCCAGTAAAACTGTGTTTGGTCCCGATATGAGGAACAAACTCCATGGTGCATTTGTGAACCAAACTCTGCCGCTCCAACAGAACCGGACCTTCAGCTCTCTCCAACAGCTTGCTTTTGACCCGCCTTCCTGTTAGTCAAGACAACGCAAGCTTCAATGTGATTGGATGTAATCCTTGTTGAGGCGGACCCCGTCTCGATCTCAAGCTGGAAAGCCGGCCCCCAGCCAGAGTGTTGTGTGTGTGTGTGTTCATAGACGCTGAGGAGAGAAATTAAGGAGGAAAACGAAACCTAACAGTATTAACGCCGTTAAAATAATTGTCGGCGTTATTCATTTGCTGCGTGAACATGATAATAACAAGTTAACATGATAATAACGAGTTAACATGATAATAACGAGTTAACATGATAATAACGAGTTAACATGATAATAACGAGTTAACATGATAATAACGAGTTAACATGATAATAACGAATTAACATGATAATAACGAGTTAACGTGATAATAACGAGTTAACATGATAATAACGAGTTAACATGATAATAACGAGTTAACG